CCTTTGCGTATTTCTGGGTTCAAACGCTGCAGGCTTCAGAAGTGGCCCAGTGGCCGAATGCTTGCCTAGCAGACTGGTCTAGGTGTCATCCTGAAACTCTCAAAGAGTAAAGGAGGACTTTTAGTTCAGGTGTATGTGCCTTGCCATTCCTTGGCAGAACTGGAGATTAACTTCTCCTCCTCCTCCTCTCAAAGGACCCTTACTGGCCTTTATAGCACAGACAGGTCCGCGGAGAGAACAGACATGTCTGGGGACCCTTGAAATGCGTTTAACCACATTCTAAAATGAGAAAGAATAGGCCCGTCCCAGGGCCAGAGGACTCCCTCTCTCATGATGTCTCCACCATCCTGGCGAAGAGGAGTTCCTGCTGCCGCAGCAGTCTCTAAAGAAAGAGCATTAGAGAGAAGTAGTATACTTTTATTAAATAAAACGGTATGTTCCTGTAGTAATGATTCAGCTCGTAATTTTATAGCGTGTCCTAGATCTTAGGCTTAGGGAAATTGACCACGAAAGTTCACGTTTGATAAGAAATGCTGTGCTGGAGCCTTGATTCTTCCTTCTAAAGCTACAAATTAGGTTTAGTTTTTTTAACTTCTCATAATTCAATGAGAATAAAGAAAAATGTCAAGTGTAATTGAATCATGGGCAAAAAGAGCTTAGTAATAAAGGACAAATCATTTTAAGGAAATTCAATAGACTTAATTTCTCTATTTCAATAAATATTCATTTTAGTTTTATTAGATTTACTCATAAAATTAATGAAAACTATGTCTGGTTATAAGTATTATCACAAGAATTAGAAATTGCCCAGAAACAGAACCATGTATGTCAGTCCACGTCTTTAAGAAGGGTTTAGAAGGAATAACAAAGGCTATTTCATAATGCAGCTGAAAATATTTCTCTATTTGACTGTCAGCAGTACGCCAAAATTTGGATCTCTGGGAAGGATAAGGAGATGTACTGCTGCGTGGTTTTCATTATCCGGTTTTATTTAACATGCTTATTTGGAAACTGAAGGAAATTGGAATTTCAAAGGATACAGACTAGCTCAGGACATGAAAAGCCAGAACAACTCAACAGGAAGGTTCCAGGAAGCAATCCCAAGTGTCAACTCTGAGGAGGAACCAGGCTCTTCCTATGGACCTTTCAGAAGGAAACTTGGATATTTAATTCCAGATTCTAGGCCACTGACTTACACTAGTCTTTATGAAGTTATTTTTCCCAATTTTGTACATTTCTTAAGTACATGAAAGAAAGTGGTCTTTCATCTTTGCCTTTTCACTTTCTTACTGCAAAAATCTAAAGATATTTATGTGACCGTGGAAAAGAACTGGCTTTTATTTCCATGCCATTCGAAGCCTGGCCGGGAGGGCACATCTGAGAACGTCACTGCGTGCTGGGAAGCGGGTTTGGGAGGCGTCGCAGGAGGGCTCAGCCCCAAAGCCTGCACGGAGCCCTCCGAGGAACCCTGTGCTCAGCTTTGGACGGAGCCCAGGAACTGCAAGTGCCGCCTCCTGGGCATGCCAGACCCATAGGGCAAATATTCCCAAATGTTCTATCTTTTTCTGTGTTTGTAATGTCCAACTATAACATTTCTCATTTTTAAACATTTAAAAAATCTAACTTTTTCTTAAGGCACCCAAGCTTATAATCAAATTAATTATCTTTGCCACATGAAAGATCCAAAAACACCAGTCCTTAACTATTTAATTTGGGATTATAGAGTTAAACGGTTTTTGTTAAATTATTTGGGCAGTAAATAATCTATGCTTTTTGCTTTCAACTCCAAGCCACCAGCAGTGTGTGAACTTCTCTAGTACACTGGCATTGTTCTATATTGTAGTCGTGGTTTTGTCCCCCGGATGTAAGTGGTCTTGAGGGGAGGAGTTGCTCTTACCTCCCACCCTCCGGTGACCAGCTCGGACACTGAACACATAAAGCCGCATACACTTGCCGGCCTGAGGCCCCTGCATGCAACACCGGACACTGGGAGGCTGGGGCAAGACGGCGGTGAGCTGGAGGTCACATTGGGCGGCTGAGCGAGTTCGAGGCCAGCCTGGGCCAAAAATTAAAACAAAGCCAAAGAAGAATTCACATATATAATTAATGGCTTAAGTGACAGAGATGTGCATACAGCAATCTGCCAAATACTTCAAGATTCCCAAATACCATTGAAGTTCCAGTAACAAAGCAGAAAATGTTAGCTATTTCTTTTTTTTTTTAGTTATTTCTTAAATATTTGTCTCAGTTGCATTCTTGGTATCTCCTGACAAGATACATTGAATATATACAGCCCCTGTGCCTTTTAAAACTTTACCTCATACCCTCAGAATTCACCCCTTCTCGCTGTCTGTTGAACGTTCTTAGCCCATCACTTTCTTTTGGGAGAGGGGAATCTTTTTGGAGACAGGGTCTTGCTAGGGAGTACAGGCTGACTTTGAAGTCACTATGTGGCCGAGGCTGGCCTCTAACTTGCAGAGATGCTCCTGCCTCAGCCTCCCAAGTGCTGGGATTTCAGGCGTGCACCACCACATCTGCCTCTACTGCTTCCTTTTTATTCTCTGAGTTCTAGTTCTTCTATTGTCTTCTTCTTTCTCCGCATTCACTTTCTGGCCTGGCAAAAAGGTGAGTCGGGAGTTCTATTTTAAGTCTTCCATACATTCTTTTCTTTTTTTTTTTTTTTTTTCCTCGAATGCCTTCAGGGCACTTGTGGCCAGCGGGAGAGGTGTGAGGTTCGAACTCCAGCAACCTGAGGCTGACAGCTTTGTGGAAGCAGCCACTTAAAGGCCTGAGCTA